GCAGGTACCATGCTAACCTCAGGTATTCTTCCAGGTGAGAAGGACCCTGATTCAGCAACGTCAGCATGTCACTCTCAGACCTATGATTACTCTGTAACTGAACCTTAAACCCTAGATGAGAAACCCTATATAACGAATAATATTGGTAAATATTTAGGCCTCTACAAAAAGTACCGCCGAGCCGATAGCATAGGAGAAGCTTCTGTGTAATTCAGGAGGCTAGGAAGCATCCTACGCCATGGCAACATGAAGGGGCCTTAATAATTAGACTATGGTTTTGGGGCCCAGTATACTATAAGTATAGCAAGGAACCTTCAAAATAGTATTGGTGATTAGTCAGGCTTCTGTAGTAGTACTATGCACTGTTTGCGGCACACCGCCACGAAAAGGATTCCCAAGGCATCCCAAACGGATATTTAGTGCTTGGCGCTTAAGGTCTAGGTTTAGGGTTTAGGGTTTGCAGGTTTGAGGCTTGAAGGTTTAGGGTTTAGGGGTTCCTTTTTGTAGGGATCTAAAATCATAAATTATACGGGTTTATACGGGTTTACATAGGGCTGTGTTTAGATAGAGGGTATAATGGAACCTTGCTGAGGGTGTAGGGTTTCGGGTTTGGCCCAGCTGTGAAACCCCATAAAAAAGAAGACCCCCAGCTCTTGAACAAAAACCCTAACGAAAGCCCCTAAACCCTCATCCCAAAGCCCCAAAAAACTGTCTGAACCCTAGAACCCCTCGAACCATTGGCCCTAAAGTAGTTCCTTTTTGGGACTACCTTATAGGACTCTATATATGAACCCCAAAAAGGAACTACTTTAGGGCCTTCGGGTAACGGAACCCTTCAAGGACCCCTAAACCCTAAACCCTAAACCCTAAACCCTAAACCCTAAACCTAAACCCTAAACCCTAAACCCTAAACCCCGAACACCCGAAACCAAGACCATGGGCCTGAGCGTTCTGCTCCCCGCGCGGGTTCGCACTCGGGGGGATGGCTGAGAACGTTGCCCACTTGGCCGCGAAGGCGGCGAACCTGAACGGTTCGGGGTTTAGGGTTTAGGGTTAGGGTTTAGGGTTTAGGGTAAGTAGAAATCAGAAAGCGACAGCGGGTAGTAAGTGAGGGACCTATCGTTTTCAGCCCTAAACAGAAACCTCTAGAACCCGAAAGCCTCAACCCCAAACCGTAAGAGAAGCTGCAAAAACGCGCTACGTACTCGGAAGGGGCCGGCTTCTTCAGGGATTGAGATCTTGCCTTAAGGGCCTTAAGGGTCCATGTACCCAAAAAGTCTATATACATTGGGGGTTTAGGGTTTAAGGCCACAAAGTACCCATATAGGGACTACATTCAGGCCAAAGTACATACTATTCGCGTACATGGACCCTTCGGGTTGGCTGGTTCAAGATTGCTTTAAGGATTCCTCCAAGGGCCCCATAAGAGCTTCTTGGTTACAAAATGGAATATATTGAAGAATGAGGTTTAGGGTTTAGGGTTAGGGTTTAGGGATTGAAGAACGAGATTTAGGGCTTACAGTAGAAGTCCCAAAGTTGGAAACCCAATAGACTCGATCCTTAAGACTAATGTTTAGGGAATCCCAGCAATTTTGGCCTTAACCCGGTTTCCAACTTTTTCCCTAAACCCTAAAAGCGTTAAATGAGCCTGAAGAATTTCGGTGCTCGGGGCTGAAAAGTTTCCGGGCGCGAAGTGACCGTGGGAGCTTCCAGAATCAGCGGGCACCACTGAACTTCAGGAGATCCGTGAGATAAGACTCTCGATTTAGGGTTTAAGGTTTAGGGTTTAGGGTTTAGGGTATAGGGATTAGGGTAGATGAGGCACTCCCCTCCCATGTACCATAGGGGGCTGAGCAATTAGACTACGGTTTGGGGGTCGAAGTATAGCATACTGACTTGTACTAGGGACCATATGGGAATACTTGCTTCCGACCCTTAAGGCAGGTAGCCAGGAGATAGAGCCGGAAAGGATGACCAGCAGCGACGTCCTTGTCGCAAGGATGAGGAACTAATGGCTCCCACTCTTTGTCTCCAGGCTTCGTGGCTCAGGTTCAGGATTTAAGGTTCAGGGTTTAGGGCTTTGGTAAGTTTAAGGTTTAGGGCTTAGGTATTACGGATTAGGGTTTAGGGCTTGGGGATTAGGGTTCAGGGCTTAGGGAGGAGTATAGAGTTGACGGTCCAGGGTTAAGGGTTTAGGGCTTACCTTTTAGGGAGTCTAGGGATTACCTCGAGTCGCATTGTAGTTCCTGTTTGGGTCTCGCCAATCTCCAGAGCGTAATAATAAATCAACGATAGGTATTTTTCTTTCCGAGTTGTCATGGACGATAACATAACTTCTATATTTAGGATCGTCAAAGGTAGCCCAAAGAAGGAACTGCAATGGACACCATCGGCAGGCTGAGGGTTCAGGGCAGCATATTTTGGGGCGCTTGGGGGAAACCATGCGCTGCTAAATTTAGGGTTTAGGGTTTAATGCGCTGCTAAATTTAGGGTTTAGGGTTTAGGGCTACCAGCACAACATGCTACTAAAGTTGCTCTCACGAAAACTCGGAAATCGCACACCCAGCCTCCAACAGGAAAGCCAGAAAACCAAGACCTAAACTAAGCACCAGATCCTACTAAACCCCAAACACCAAACCGAAACCGATACAACACCAGCTGAAAAGAAGTCCTCAGCCATCCCGCCAGTCGCCGGCGCGGGGGCGGCATTGCGCTAAACGAAACCTAATATACCCTAAACCTGAAACCCTACAAACTGAGCTGGAACCATAGGCTTAGGGGTACGGCTTCTTCCTAGGAACCCCCTTAAAGGAACCCTATTCTAGGACCCTTAAAGGGAACCCTACCATGGAATCCCTAAGTTCTGGATCCTCCCTGAGCTTAGGATACAGCCACAGACCCTCCAAAGCCCCCTAATTTAGGGTTTAGGGTTTAGGGTTTGGGGGTTTGGGGGTTTGGGGTTTGGGGTTTAGGGTTTAGGGTTCAGGGTTTAGGGTTTAGGAATATACCTTACCCTAAGGCTCCTGGACCCTGGACCCTTGTGATGTAGAGGGCCTCAACAATTACCAAGACTAGGGGGGCTCCTTACTACAAAGTATCGTATAATATACCCCAAAGCCCTTTTCTAACTATTTTGGCCCCTCTATAGAACCCAGAACCCTTATAGTTACCCTAATTGACTTGGAGCATCCCTTTTAAGAAACCCCTTAAAGGAACCCTATTCTAAGCATTAAGGCCGCTATAATTAGTGAAGGTCCCAGACCCTCGTCCCCAAAGCCGCAACACTTTCTTAGAAAGCCCAAGACCCTCTGTGGAGCCTTAGCGTAAGTCATATCAGGGATCCTACAACAGTTTCAAGTATGCCTGGACCCCAAAAGTATGTCGAAATACGAGCCCTTTGTTAGGTCTTGAGCCATTAACTTACCTACTTTTGGCGGTGTTGCCTTGGTGGGAGTGATTAGCAACATTCTTCCTCATGAGGATTCCTAATTACGCATCCTCACATTCTAAGATAAGACACCCCTAAACCCGGCCCAAAACAAGAGATCGCCATGCAAGGGCGGCGTGTGCGAAGTGGCTTTGACCGGAAAGGTGGTAGGGTTTAGGGTTTAGGGGATTTCAAGTGCACCCTAACCTCAAAGCCCTAGAGCCCTGAACCCAAGTAGTGCTTGAAGGTAAACCCTCGACCCTGGGTGTTCACATGTTGAAGGGAGGCCCTGGGAGCTCGACTCTGAGGAGAAGAGGTCTGGGTTCTGTAGTGCCTTCCTGGGACTCGAATTACCTACAGTTCTATGGGTTCTAGCTAACGAATTAAGGGGTACTGGCTGCTAAACGGTGGGCAAAGAGAGTTACAGGTCCAAAATCAATCAGCATAGGGTTCTGGGGCAACTTAGACAGCAAATCCAAAAAAGTTGGAACATGGCTTGGGGATGATTAGTACTAGGATTCCGAAACCCTAAACAACCCCTAAACCCAAACCCTAACCAGGATTCCATATGCTTTACCTTTCAAGGCCTGAAGATGATCATCTCCCAAGTCCCTGGCTTCGACTTTGACTTTGACAATAAGAAGCCGAAAACCGTGGGGAACAGTCAGGAACAACATTACGAGTGCTGATGATATAAATCCTGCGTTACCTTAAGGACCCAAAACTCTGGGAATTATCGAAGAATATTATTTATGGGTAAGGCAGGCTTTATACCATCAACCGTAGTATATCCATAAAAGCCTAAAAAAAAAAACCCTAGAAAAAACCTTCTAAACCCCGGCAACCCTCAAGGCCTTAAGCCTTAAACCCTAAACCCCAAACCCCTAAACCCGATTATAGTAAACCCTCCAACCCCCATAAATAACCCTACGAGCCTTCAAAACAAGCCCTAAACGTACGAGACCGACATCCTGCAGGCACCCAAAGTACCCAAAGCCCTGAAATCTGGCTCCTGCTC